AAGTTGGGCTGCGCTATGCACATGAGAGACCTGAGATCCGAAGTACACAGCGCAGAAGCACAGCAGCTTACATGGCACGCTCCCCAGCTTGGCAACTGCGCATCAACAAGCCACTGCTTCTGCTTCCAGTGCCTGTGCTCACTAGTTGCAGAGCAATGGACGCGCAGCAAAAATCACATTTTGTTACAAAATAACCATCTTGGACGGCCCCGTCGCATGCGACACAGGCCCACCTGCACAATGCGTGGCTGCAGCAGCCCAATAGGTGCTACCACTTTGGAAAAGCAGCAGGCGCACTTCTCGATTATTCTATGGTCCAACTCCGGGCATTCCACGCCGGCGACTCGGGAGCGGTTCGTCACCCAAGGGTGAACTCGCGCAAGAATCCAGCCACAGCTGAGGTGGAAGCTTGATAGGACAATGATCCGTGCCGAGTGAGCAGCGCTGCGCACCTGGCGCCATGGAAAAAATGCACCAAAATCAGAGCAACAAAAACAGATGAGACCCGACAAACACCCCCCCCCAACATGCGGCAATGACGACTAGTAGGCAAACATCTCTAAACATCGTTGGATTTTCTTGGAGCCAGCTATTGATAACCCGTGAAGAGCTACCCGAACATAGCCTCCGCCTAGCATGCCGCGCAGAGCAGCGGAAGTTACAACCACTGCCTTCTTACCATCGAAAAAACGCATGTCGCCTGGTAGCACCGCCACTCCGTGGCATACAAGGCACACGACACCAGCGCCGCAAGGCCGCTGCCGTAGTGTGTGGCTCAGATAGTTCACCTCGGCAGAAAGGCAACGTGCGGCATTGATCTACAATTTGCAATGGGCCACAGAATGTGCTAGAGCTAGAGAAAGCTAGCTCAGGCCATCGTAGTTGGCAGCCATGAAGGCCGCGAAAACGGAGCTGACCTCCTTGGCAACACTTGGCCGGCCACAACGCTAGGAACACAGCAGTTGCTCCAACTCTTCGCAATCTGACAGAATACGGACTCCGCTTGCCTGTCAAGGCTTGGCCGAAGAAGAAGGGAGTGCCAAAGCCTGGCAACGTGCTGCCACTTGAAACTGCCCTTGCAAAGACTTTGCAATCTGATAGATAGCTGGTCGGCTCTGCCCTCACCCAACAGGACCATGACTGGCCCTTGCGCTGCATGCGTGTGCCTTCACAGTGGCTTTTGCGGTGCCTCCAGGCTTCAGCAATGCGGCCGCCTTTGATGGTCACGACCTGAGCGCACTGCCAGCGGTTCAGCGAGCGAACTACTATCTTCAGCAAGGCCTGCAGCGTCATATTGATTCCGTTCCGCTGGTGTTGATGTAGTACCTCGTCGCTGGCATGAGCGCGATTACAAAGCGGTCCCTGGGTCCATCTGCGCAAGCAGCATCTGCTGGCCACGGGCCAGGGTCTGCAAGGACCTACAGGCAAAGCGAATGCAACAGTGAAACGCAAAACAAGCTGAGTCCCCGGCTGCAGGCTGGGCAGGCTTCCGACCTAGAAGCAAACGAGAGACAAAAACACTTTCTCGATTTGCGCGATATAAGCGAGCCGCCGCCTCCTGAGACGCGGAGTCCTCCAGGGCGAGCTGCGCATCAGCAGCCTTGCGAGCAGCAACGACACGTGCCGCCTCATGCGCACCAGCCTCCAGATCCGCTTCTGCGGCCAAGGCCTCTGCTTCTGAGTCGACCTTGACGTCGGCCACCTCGTCCTGCTGGGTGTCGAGGTCCTCGGGCTGGCGGTCCGGGAGGGTGTCTGCAGCGTCGACGGCCTCGCCAGCCTTGCGCTTGCGCGCGCGCTTCGTGGCTGACTCGCCGTCCGCCAGCTCCTTCTCGAGGTCCTGCTCCGGCTTAAGCTGCTGCAGAAGCTCCTTGGCCTCTCGTTGAAAAAATGCCGCAGGCAGCAGCAAGCTTCTTGCAGCCAGGCAAGCGTTCACCGTTGGCCGCTCGGAGCTCCTCCAGCTGGACGCTGAGGTTGTCCACGTCCATGGCCGGGCTTGGGTGCGGCACAAGGGCCGGCGAGCACGTGAGCGCCGATCGCGAACACGTGTGAAATGATGGTGTGTGCAATGTGGGCGAACGCATGCCCCATGGATCTCGATATATTGGGGGCGAACACGTCCCCCCCACATCAGCGGGAAAACCCTCCCTGTGCAGTGTGCGCGAGTAGGTGCCCCACGGGCGCGTGAAAATTCACGCTTTTTCACGGGGTTTTCCCGCTGATTAGGGGGTTTTGACGCTGTTTTCTCGCTTTTCACGCCACCACCGTTGGTGGCTCCGAAGCCCGAGCAAGTACCAGTTCGACTGCAGAGCGAACTGCTTCTGCCCAGCGCAAAGGGCTGTGCAAATTCTTCGATCTACTCAGATACCGGATCACAGATACCAGATCGGCACACGATACACAATACTACTTTAAGAAACGCAAAAAACGAAAAGCACCGATCTGAGGCCGCAACGTCCTCACACAGACTGACCTTGGACCAGTCGATGTCCTGCAAGGAGAGGCACTTCACAGCAAATGCGCGCCAAAAAAAAGGCCTGGAACAGCTCGAAGTCGGATTTGCATGCCAGGCAAGGCCTGAGTCACAAGGGCAGGCGCACCTGCAAGAAGCACCGCGTTAAGGGCCCTGCAGGCCACTCAGGCGCCTGAGCTTCACGAAGCAGGGCCGCCAGATGAGCGCCCAATCGCTCAGGGTATGTCCTGGGCACGCGCCCGCCAAAGCACAAAAACAGAAATGGTTGCATCTATGCAGCTGGCTTTGCTTCAAGCGCGGCGTGCCAGAGCAGCCGGCAGGCTGGCCGCCAAAAAGATCGAGCTGACCAAGAAACGCATGCGCCCGAGTCCTTGTGATCCTCGAAGAGCTTTGCCGCAGCAGGGTGATGAGGGAGAGCGCTTCCAGCTGGCTGCTCCATCAGCCACCTACCCACACAAAAAATGCGAGCGCGTGCGTTCACAGGCCTGCCCTTCGAAGCTGCGATGTAGCGAAGCAGTAAGCCCGCACGAGCAGCCAGGCAGTTGCCTCTGAAAGCCGCGGTTTCCTTCCGGAAGCAAAAGCGACCTTCCGTGGTTGCCAGCAGCCCTGCCAGCACGCGTGAGAAGCAGCCACATGTTGCAAGCAGAGGCGCTGAGTTGCTAGGGCCGGGCGGAGCGCAAAAGCTGTTGCAGCAAATGGCCACCAAGTGCAAGGAGCCCGGCTTGCTCCGCGCAATGGCCAGCAAGGCTAGCCTCAGAACTCAGACAGCCCACTACAGCCATGAAAAGCCCCTTGCCGGCGAGTTTCGCAAAGCCAGCCAAGGCAGTGAAGCCCATGCGCGCCCGTCATCCAGCAAGATATACCTGCGAAGCCATTGGCTCTGAGCTGGGCGCTGACACAAGCAGCGCCACAAAAGTACTCCACGAAGTCGTTGACCTGGGCAAGAAAAGGTGAGAAAACAGAAGGGTACGGGCCGGGCACCTGGGCGCTGCTCTGAACGGCGCTGTTGTGCAACAAAAGGAGCACCGCGAGAACCAAAATCTCCGGGCAGGCCGCGGCCAGCATTGCAGCAACGACCATTGCGACAGCACGTGGGCCCCCGACGTGCGTGAGCCCTGACAGGGCTGCAGCCAGAAATGCGAGATCGAACGCGCTAATACACGCATGACGTGTCTGGGCTGGAGTTCCATGCGTCTGACAGGCGCCGCTTGAGCTCTGCAATGTGCGAATGGAATACGTCGCGCCTCCGGCCGGCCGCATGCCGGCCAGCGGGCCCGGGGCTGAGCCAGTGCGGCTATGGATGCAACGGCGGCGATTAAGCTGGGCTCATGATCATGCATGCAACGCACATCGATATGCACATGCGTGCTCGGATGTAAGCGCCACGCCGGCGCGGCGCTGGGCCCACGACGAGCCAATTGAGCCGGCGAAACGGCTCTGCAGGCGCAGCGTGTTTCAACGTTTTTATTTTGGGGGTCTGCCTTACAATCATATAGCCGCCAACCCCTACCAAAAAAGGCGTTACAGAATGGCAACACTACTTATATCACGGTCACTCCAAGCCTCACGCTCCAAGTTTGGCTTGGCTGCGGGGTGATCAGCACGATACGGGGGTGATCAGCACGAAACGGCGTATCACCTTAAAAACTCCCTATCACCTTCTCGCGGGGTGAAGAACACGAAGCACATGTCTAGGAAATTCAGTCTAGAGAATTCAACCGGAAAATTTCAAGAATTTTCCGGCTGAATTCAGTCTGGCGATGGGCTGCCCAATCCAAAATTCAACGAAATTCGGACCAAAATCGACAAATGCGACCAAACTCGAGCAAAATTCAACCAAACTCGACCGAACCTGACGAAACTGGACCGAACTCGACGAAATTCGACCAAACTCGACCAGTTTCGACCAAACTCGACCAAACCCGACCGCAAAGTTTGAAGAATTTTCCGGTTGAATTCAGTCTGGCGATGGACTGCCCAATCCGACCCCTGACCAAGTGCTCGAGGTTCGATTCCATTGGCGGGTTTTGGGATGCGATTGATTCAGCAATGCGCGATTGGCGGGATGGCAGTCTGTGATTGGCGGGACGGGACAGTTTGCGATTGACAGGCTCCGCGTATTCGATTGGCGGGTTTCCCGTTGCTTGAGGCAAATCAACCGCGTCAGGCCTTTTGGGTTCCAAGTTTGAGCCTTAGTCAAGATCACACATGTTGTTCTTTTTGATGGCCCGTGAGGACGCCGCAAGCGTTGGCCTTCGTGTTGAGTGTTTGTCTCTATGTTTGACGCAGTTCAGTTGATCAAAACTGTCCGATAAAACTTGGAACGCACGTGTTTTGATGAGACGCAATTCCTAAGGTTGGTCCTGCGTCCTTTTCACCCATCTTTCTTTGGAGACACCGCTCACATTCCGGGCTGTTTGTTGCCATTTGCTGCAAACTATTAGTAGGAATAGTTTTCTAACGTCATTGTTGGAAAAGCTATCGCCACACCGTTTTCCCACCCTTTCATTGAGTGGCAGTTTGGCCACAGGAGGAGGCAGAAGTGGCGCAAGCGAGCATGGAGCGCCTTGGAGCTGGGGACGGTGGTTTTCAACGTCACCTGGTGGGTCAAAACAAATGGTACCATTTTGGGGTCGGTGCACCGCCCATTTTAGAACCTATTTTATTGGGGATTGGGATGTTCACTGCCATTTAAGCTGAGTTTTCCTTGGTGGGGCTGATGCTCCCCTGCGCGATGTGCTTCCGGTTTTTGTTTGGAGCAATTGTGTCGGGGCCATATGCAACATTGGGCAGGCGCTGCCTATTTTGGCAAGCAATTCCACCGATTCGGGGCGAAACAAACGAATCCTTGATGTAGAACCTACACTGAGCATCCAATTCATACTTCAGGTTTTGGAATTGTTGTACGACGGAAGGTGACATTTAGGTCGATACGACGGAAAACCAGCTTCAGGTCGATAGAGCACCCAGGGTGATGGTAGCTGATGAGTGAAGGCTTTGAAACACCGAGGTGGCCCGCTTGGTTACCAGCACACAGGAGTCACCACTATTGGTGACAGTCTACTCGCGGTTGGGGAGGATTTCGGGGCACAGCCCAAATCTCCCCGCACAAGGGAAGCACCCAAGTTGTCAGCATCAGCCGGGGTGTAGGATAGACAAGTGGAAACAGGTGATTTTATCCGTGCTCATAGTATGTCAATTAAGTTTGACAGTTGGAACAGGATCTATTGATTGACGGACACCTCAGTGAGCAGCATTCTTGTAAACATACTGAGTTGATCACACAAGTGCTTTGTTTGACGCTGCCCAAATGGCCATTTGCAACCCTGTCGATGGTCTAACAACAACAATGTCTAGTTTTGCAAGATGCACCGACGATACACCGACCGGAGCCGTATGTGAGTCAGGCCTGAACATCCAATCGCCACAATATCAGTTGACCCGGGCATAGCCGAAGGTTGGATGGAAGGTGCGGCAAGGTGGCCGAATTCCTTACAATTTGGGTAGACTCCTTAAGTACTGTGGATGGACATCCTGCACAGGTTGCTAGGTGCTGTGTCCCAGTCATGGGGTTTCAGGTTCCCAACTGTCGTAGGTGGGTTTCATGTTCCCAACGCCCAACTGGTTCAGGATTTTTGCCCACCCCTAGGTTTGTTTTTTTTGTGTGGTATGTGGCTTTAATGACCCCACGCCATGGTTTTCGCTGAGGTTTCTTGAGGGCAATTGGCGAGATGAGGTGGTGGCCCCTTGGCCAAGAAGACAGTGAATAAATGAGCCTTAGATGGGTGTCCTTCTTTTGCGGACCCCCAAAGTGGTGGTTGTCCTTTCGGCTTCTCTTTGATTCCAAAAGACAAGTGGCACCCTCAAAGAAGAGACACCCGGAGACTCTGCATGTGGGTCATATCTCAAACGAGCCGCTTCAAAAAGGCGCGAGTTTGCTGCCTTTCACTTGGGGTGCCTGTATAGTTTCTTACGTGTCGACGGTTTCCACTCGCTCAACTGGGATTCCTCTAAAAGGATAGTCCGTTAGCGGCGCAGTCTTGGAGTTCCCTGTGAGGTCTGCATCTTAGGCGCATGTGATTCAGAGGGCCAGCAGGATCCTCGACCTTGTTTGTTCATTTTCTTGAAGGCGCCTGCACGTTTATGTTCCCTTGTCGTTCGAACTCGCATCTCATGTTGGAAGCTATGAAACTCACCCTATGTTGTAGTGAGCAGCTCGGTAAACATCGTCACATCACAATTTTGAATGTGGCCAGGCGCTTTGTTCCGACGCGTTCCGACTTCTTGAACAACGCCCGAAAAAAGGCCACGCCAGTCTTCATCAGATATCACGAGATTTACGAAAAAAACCAAAAATCTGCACCTCCAACCGCAACCCAAAGCCAAGAAGCGCGGGAGACTGAGCCAACCAGTTCTGGAAACTGTCACCCCGCGAACCGAGCTAAGGAGGGTGCCTGGGCCATGGCTCAGCGCGCCGGCTTCACGCCCAGTGGTGGGCCCGTGCTGCGGGCAGCGCAGGCCGGATGTGCCACCCCGAAAACCCCCCGTGATTGGGTTTTGCGTTGCTTTGGCGCATGTGTGTGTGTGTGTGTTTTTTTTTTTTACAGGTTTCAGTGTTTGCCTGGCTTTCATGTGTCCTCCGAAGCAGCCCTCAAGAAATAGCTCCGAATAAGGTCAGATTTGACTTCCAGGTTGACAGGCTGCTTTATTATCTGGAAAGAGCGCTCTGGAATGTGACGATCCGGTCCAGTTTGGCAAGATTACATTGTAGTTGATACAACTTTTCACTGCAAAAAGTCAGTCACCTTTTGCCTTGTGCCCCTTTGCGTTTTCTTCATTGTTGTTTTTGGACAGCAACTTAGACAATGTGAACACTTTTTGCAGGGGGGCCGGATCGGCCTATTGTTGGAAGCTGCCTGTCCTGTATCATGCGCCTGGCGCGGCAGAGAATGCCACATTCCATCATCTACTGTAGTACAGGGTATGACATGTGATACACACACACACATTTTCCATACAGAACTGTGAGTGCTTATAAGAGTACATTGCTTACCAAGCTCTCCTGAGTCACAGGGCACAAGGAGGGCAATGGCTATAAGAAACCAGGGTTTGCCCACATTTACCCAAAGACTTTAAACCCAGTGGGTGCTTGTCAAAGGGGACCCTGGCGCTTTTGGGCCGTTTTAGGCCCGCAGAATCCCAAGCAAATCGATCCCCAAGAGCCCAAGAGCCCGAGAAAAAACGCGGAGCCTCCCAGGTCTTGCGCATGATGGGCCTGCAGCTGACCACCTACGAGCTGGCCTGGAAACTGCGCCTCACGCGGCTCGGAAGATCTGCTCCAGACCTCCCCTCGGTTCGAGTGGGTGGCGATTTCTGGTACTTGCGGTTGGCGGTGTTTTCTTTTTTTTTTGGTCCGGCTGGTAATGGTAGTTGGTCATTGGGATTGGTGATTGAGGAAATGGACACACTGGTGCTTATCTTAGTTGGGAGTGGTGGCTAGGCGAAGGGGCATGCAACGCAATTACGCAGAGGGCACCAGGGTTCCTTTTTCCAAGGATTCCCCTTTGCACACAGTCCCCATTTGGTGCATACGCTTTCCATACCAGCTATACTGTCGGTCTGTAGGGCTTTCCCTTAAACGCAATGTCCAAAAATGGACAGCCCATACCGATAGATCAGCTCAGACATCATCAAGTTTCACGGCGATATTACGTCACGCGTTGAGGGAACTATGACAAACCAACAGGGATCTCCCCACCCCCAAGCGCCACCTCCCCCTTCCCCCTCCGATTTGATCACGTCTTATTCTTGTCGAGATCCCACGATCACGCGTTCTTATCTTCCCTTTTTTAGTCGCCAGTGCCTCACTTCCGAGTAAAGGATTTCTCACCGCAATGGGATTGTGTTTCAATCGGAGGCACGCACCTTCAAATGGCGTGCACCAATGGTCTCATTTCAAATCCATACCCAAACGATGCAATGTTAGTGTGGGAGAAAACGCATGGGACAAATATTCAGTAGCTTAAGGGGCCAATTGTCCCGTGTCCTTTGCGGGAACCGCCTATTTTTGCGGTGGCACGTATACACCGCCCCGTTTATACCTCCAAAACCCATACCCAAATGTGCCCTTTGACAGGAACGGTAGCATACTCTGGGCAAATTACTGCGACCTCTACCAGTTTGCGACCTCGCACAGGATCACGGTTCCTTTCAGGTTGGCGACCTATATTTCACCCAGATGCGACCCAACTGCCTGGCTTCGACAAGCGCGCCGCCCATGTGGTTTTGTTCACGAGACCAAATGGCTCCCAATCCCAACTGGCCCTGGCCGCATGATTGATAGTCTCCTTGTACTACAGGGATTTAAACGAGTGCACAGGATTCTTTTTGGTGTTAAAGTACCCCACAACCCCACTCTCATTAGTTGAACGGCCCCAGTACTCAAGAAATGTGACACAGACACTCTGCCATCTGGTAAACTGTTGATCGGGCATCCAAACCCTGGTTGACAAGTTTTGGTTGTTGAATCCAAGTTGGGAGGTGGCTGAAATTGCTGAAGTTGTCCTTTTTCAATGAAAACCGATGACATTGGTTGGGTCCCACTTCAGATTTCTTGTTGGTTCCGGCTAGGAATGAGGGAATGGCACTTATCATCGATCCCTTGTTGTTTTCAAGGGGATCCCCAGGTTCATTCCCAAAACTCTTGAAATTCTCACTGAGAACCAAGAAGTGGGACATACTGTGGATGGGCAAATCCCTTCGCACCAGCTTGAAACCATGCTTGAAACCAGTTGAAACTATAACGTTTGTTGGAATTTACAGGGGATTCATCAGAAACCAGGGTTTTTTTGGTGCAAAAGGATTTCGCAACCATCCACAGTAGGGGACATGCCCCCAATCCCTACCAAAGAAGATCCTCTACCGCTATTGGGTTGGATCTTTAGACTTTCACTTTTTGGATTCCCTTCATATTTCCTTTCAACCAGCAAAAAGTTACCCACTCTCCTGCTAACATGACACCTCGCAGGGGGTCCCTCCAAGACGAAAATTATCTTCCAGGTGGTTCCCCACAGGTGCCATGGTGATATTTTTGTTCATATGTCCTTTTCATCAGCAAAAGGCTAAACTTTTTGCTGGGGGATCCCATGTTAGTGGGAGGAAGGGTAAACTTTGTGCTGGGGGATCTACCTGTAGCACCCAGGGATCGTCCTCATTCCCAAAGCCGAGGCAGCTTCAGGGAGATCACCTGGCCGTGGCCGCCGCGCTGGGCAGTTCCCAGGCGCGGTTTGGCAAAGCGAGCGGATGTCGCGGGGCATGGTTTGACCCAGCCGCGCCGGAGGTGGGGAGGGGCCAGACTTTTTGGTTCGGAGAAGGGGAAGGGTAAGGGAACCAAAAGGTCAGTCGAAACCAGAAGGTGAGTCACAATGGAGCCAGGTCCAATCAGGGCCCAATGGGAAACCTAGGTGGGTATGCTGACATGTCCTTTTTGGGGGGTTCCACCCCGATTCAGGGTTGTTTGGAAGGGGAAGCGAAAAGAAACATGTTGGGATTATGGAGCAAATGTACATGTTGGAGAAAAGAAAGCTTGCAGGTGCACTCGATTCATATTCAGGGGGCTAGAGACATGGCTGCGCAAAGACACCTGCATTTATTTGCAACCCACTGGAACATCTTCCTCTCAGAACTCGATGGCGACACTCCCTCATCTTCCGATTCATTATTTATGTGTATAATGTGATATGTAAATACACATCTGCCATGCGCTGTGTTTGCCTTTCTCTTCAGCGGAATCTTTCAGGCGTTTTGGGAGCGGTGCTTTTGGTGATTTAAACATCTGGGCCTTTCCATATTGAGTTGCCATTTGTCTGGGCGAGGAAATGCAAGGGTTTGGTTTCGGCCAGGCGGCACCCGATGCGCGCATGCAATGCAGGACAGAGCTAGCTGAGGCGGGCGGGCGGTGGGGGCGAGACATGAAGCAAGGAATGCCCACCCCGGAATTGTCAACCTGGAGGAAACCCCCTGCAAGCGACAACCCCCTGAGTCAAAACTTTTGGCGGTGATAGTGGTTTGTTGCTACGATTTACTGCCCGCAGGGACACTGACGACAATGGAAGTTTTGTTTGCGTCGGGGAAAAGGCAAGATTCTCCGTAAAGAATGAGGGAATCACCCCTATGAACCATCCCCTTGTAGTTTCCTTTCAGGGCATCCACAGTTTCATTCCGAAATCTTCTGGTGATTCCCTACTGGAAACAAGGAAGCAAAAAGGGTTCCTTTTCTGGGAGCCACGACCAAAACCCAGCAGAATTTGACCATCGCACTTAAGAGGTTTGGTCAGGTTGGGAGGAACATTGGGGGGACTCACGAAAAACGTTCGACCAAAAAAGAACTTACCAATCTGCCCATGTCCTTCAGAGTAATTCCATATTTTGATGTTGTCATACAAGGAACCCTGAAATGCGCTGAAACTTGCTGGTCCGCAGCAGGGAATGAGAGAATGACTCCTGTAAACCATCTCTTGTGGTTTCCTTTAAGGGAATCCCTAGGTTCATTCCCACATTCCCTACTGAGCACCAGCAGGAAAATGCACTAATGGATCCGGCAAACTTCGGGAGGCAGGACGTCTGCAACGTCGCGCGCAGCAGCTCGGCAACGAGGCCGGGCTCGAGTTGCATTGCTCAGAGTTCTGGCCCCGTACGCCTTCCTCCCAGCAACATGGTTTCGTGTTTGTTTGTTTTTGGTGGTACCGCCTTGCGTGGCTGGTGGAGTCGGTACCCCATTTCGGCTTAGGGAAACGCATGGATGGTGCGGCTCCGCAAGAATCCCAGGGCCCCAAAAGGGTCCATCGCAGACAAATGCAGCGAAAGACACACGATAAGGTTTGGGGGAAACCCGCGTTGTGTCCATATTTTGGCGGGGTGCCTTCTCTTGCTTCAGGTGTTTGCTTTGACCATGGCGCATGCATGGGGTATATGTGCATGCAGCTGTTTTTTTTTGCCTTGATCCCGGTAACGGTTTGAGATGGACTCTGGAGGGCGAACATGGCTGGTAAATGTTCATACTATCCTCTCCCCAAGAGTTCTCAGTGCATCCGCAGTTACTACAGTAGGTTACTAGCCATGGTCTTTCTGGGTTTTCAATGGTTCTCTTGATTACCGTGCAACCCCCCGGGAAGTGAGCGGGGCCGGATGAGGGGGCGCCTTTCCTTTTTGCTCTGCAAAATGAGACTAAACCTCCCAAATTCCGGGCAAACTTCTGTAAGTCCCAAACTGGAAATACGGGACCCGCTCAGTAAATAAGCCACCCCCTCACAGCGCTCTCATCTGCAGTTGGGTGAAAATAGATGACGAATTTGACCCCGGCCCTTTTAGCTTGCTCATCATCCCCCTGACTTGCCCACATCTACCGGGAATGATAGCTTCCACTTTCACTTGGTCATGGTTGGTATTCTTCTCCCATGATCATGCGGTAACTTGGTAGCAAGCAAACACAACCCAATCTACTTGTTTGGCCGCCTATAGTGAGTAACACTCACTTGGTTTGCCGTCAAATGACCCGGGCAGAAGCCTTATATAGCATTTGACGGCAAATTGAGCGTAGCTATTGTATATGGTAACTGTTTGTTCCTTTATGGCTATTTGGTTGGATCTTCGGACGGTAACATTTCGGGAAACAGGCCCAAACAGTTATAAACAAATTATTTGGAGGGGCAGACAGCCACCAAGTCCCGGACCCTTGGGTGGACACCATTCAGGCCGGGATGTATGTCCAGCAACCACTTTTGTCCGGGGTTCCCATAAAAACAAATACAATAAATAAACTAATTGACTGTTACTCGCATGGAGTTTGGTTCCCTCAAGATAGGTGGGGGATTGTTGTCACTAACCACTTTTAAAAAGGGTTCTAGTCTGGCCAGAACCCGGTGCCTCGCAGGTGCAGCGGTGCCAAACGCGGCTCCAGGACGCCAAGGCGCGCGAGGAGGCGCTGAAGCTGCGGAGGGCGGACTTCTCGGCGCCGGGGACCTCCCAGGCGCGCGGCTGAAAACCCTGGGAAACGCGGGAAAGACGGGGTGACGTCCAGAACATGTGTTTCATTTGCCGAAAAGAAGATGTGTTTTTGTTTCGAATGTGATTTCTACTGGAAATATGTTTGCATTTGTTTCCAGGGGCGTAGGCAAATGGGAGAAAACGGTTTGGATGTGGCGAATCTGTGGATCCACCCCTGTAGTGTTTTAAAGAGTACGGACAGAAAACAAAAAACAAAAAATAAAAACAAACAACAGAGTGGGTGGGTAGTGGGTGGTTAGTGGGTTGCAAGTTGGCGGGCGGGGCACTGTTAAAAGCAAAGTAGAAAAGCGTGTAGTTTTGTCGGGGTGTGGGGTGTTCGCAGAGTTGTCTATGGTATCACGCCCCGCAACTCCAATCACCTAGGGCCATTAAGCAAGCAGCAAACTAGCAAACTGGTTGATGATTCATACTAGGGTGTGTGTGTGTGTGTGTGTGCGCTTGCGCGTGCGTCTTGGTTCAGTTCGGGAAATCGAATCCCCTTTGGTGGGTTTCTTGAATCAATGTTGCGGGACGTTTGGCGGGGGCAAACGTGGCCACGGATTCCTTAAGGCCCGCAAGGAAGCCCAAGGAGCCCCTGAGCTGTACCAACTGTCGACAACCAGATCCTTGCCCCACTGGAGGGAACAGAAGGCGGTTGTTTAGACAATGTTGGTGTTAAGAAGGTTTGACCAAGACCCAGGTGGTGGCAAATGGGGGGGGGGCGGGGGGGCGTTGGGTTGCCACTTTCTTTGAGTCGCAGTGAAAATCCCTTGCGGAGCGGACCTCAGTTTCCGACCAGACCACCGGGGAAGGCGATACAACCCCGCCGAAGAAGCTAGTGTTTATTAAACAGATTTTGGCTCTTATTAGAGTTTGTTTTGGGGTTTTGGGGCGGGTATTTGAAGCCTCGTGATGACCCACATGCTTTCCGTTGGGAATTCTGGTATCCCTGGTACATGTTTTCTCTCTCTCTCTCTCTCTCTCTCCATATACATATATGTATATATGTGTGCACACAACGGCGGGGTTGGCCCTGTTAACATGTTGGGATTGTGTGGCTAGGTCCCCCGAGCCCTTTTACCCCTTTTTGGGAAAGGGGTTCCCCTACGTATACTTATTCCAACCTCAAACTACTGGAGGACCTAGGTGGCGTGTGCATGTGTTCTGGATGGGGGGGGGGCAGGATTCATTGATCCAAGGCCAATGCTGCCAGTTGCAGTAGTCATGATGTGTGAATTCCCCCATTCCAGATCCGCAAACAAAAACACCTGCAATATGAGGGGACTAAGTTGCTAAGTTGGCCGCATTTAATTGTTCCAACTCAGTCCATATCAAGTATGCCATGTAGATCCATGTGTGTCCTTTTCATGGTTCTAGTGGTGCCACTTCGGATTTTACATGGGGGGGGTGCCGATCCGCGCCAATTGTGAACCCTAAGTAACACTGGCAATTCTTTCGTGGTCACATGATGATTGAACTCGGCCAAACATCAAAAAGTCGTAACCCGACCCATTTCTAGGGGTTGGATCCCCATTCTTTTCAACCATCCTTCTTTTTAACAACCAGCTGTTTCCCCGGGTTTTGGATGGTTTCCTGAAAAGATTCGGATCCCTTGAAAGAATGGAATTGGAAGGTAGCCTAGGTCCCCCAGTAGTGCCCTTCTACCCCTTTTTTGGGAAAGGGGTTCCCCTACTAAAATAGACTACAGGAAAACAGGTACCCTTATTCTAACCTCAAACTGCTGGAGGACCTAGGTGGCGTGTGTTTGTGTTCTGGATGGGGGGGGGGGGCAGGATTCATTGATCCAAGGCCAATGCTGCCAGTTGCAGTAGTCATGCTGTGTGAATTCCCCCATTCCAGATCCGGAAAAAGCAAACAACCTGCAACATGAGTGGACTAAGTTGCTAAGTTGGCCGCATTTAATTGTTCCAACTCAGTCCATATCAAGTATGCCATATAGATCCATGTGTGTCCTTTTCATGGTTCTAGTGGTGCCACTTCGGATTTTACATGGGGGGGGGGTGCCGATCCGCGCCAATTGTGAACACTAAGTAACACTGGCGATTCTTGCGTGGTCACATGATGATTGAACTCGGCCAAACATCAAAAAGTCGTAACCCGACCCATTTCTAGGGGTTGGATCCCCATTCTTTTCAACCATCCTTCTTTTCAACAACCAGCTGAGCGGCGAAAAAAGCCTCCGTAGATCAATTTAGATGAAACTGGAAATTACTCTTGCAGTCGTAAGCATTTTTGCGAGATTCGTAAGCAATCGGAAGGTCCTGCGTAAGCTGCATGCATGAGTCACTCGTCGTAAGCTTTGCGTAAGCTCTGTTTGTCAGACCCGTTTTTCGTTCAGATTGTTTGGTAGAAGTTGCTTTTGGTCCGCGTAATGTTTTTTGGCGTGAAAATGGGATCAGATTGCTGGAATGGGTTCTTTCGAGCAACAAGGAAAGGGATTCTTTCAGTGAACAACTTTTTCAGGCTCAGACAACTGCTGTTTGACCGTTGGGTTGCCTTGCAAACCTTTTGCAATGTTCCACGCACAGCGCGTTGGCCAGCTTGAACAAAAAAGCTCGCGTTTGGAAAACAACTTTTCGAGCCCCGAAAGTTTTGTTTTGGCACCTCACCTTTGTCGTTGAGCGGGCTTGGAAAACAACATGTTGAGCCCCGGGCTTGTTTTGCTGCGGCTTTGCCTTTTCACCTTTGGGCCTCGGGCTTGGAAAGCACAAAACAACTTTTCGAGGCCAGACAAGTTTTTTTGTTGCGAGGCGCCTTTTGCCACCTGCAGGCACTTTTCAGGGCCCCGAAGCCCAAAAAAGCTCGCGGACTGGAAAAAAAACTTTTCGAGCCGAAAGTTGCTTTTGGGGCCTTTCCATGCAAGTGGTTGCTCTGTCGTGCTGGCGCCTCTTGCTCAGAGGACCCGCGTGCTTTCTGCAGAAAAAAACTTTTCGGGCCCCGAAAGTGTTTTTTCCGTTTGGCCCGGGTTCAATCCCTAGTGTGCCCACGTCAATGCTGAGCTTGCGCAGCAAAGCCTTTGCACCTTTGCGTGCAAGCTGTTGCTCTGTCATGCTGGCGCCTCTTGCTCGCGGAGGATCCGCGCAGAAAACAACTTTTCGGGTCTCGAAAGTTTTATTTCAGCTTTTGCCCCTCCATGTCTGTGCAGCAAAGCCTTTGCACCTTTCCATGCAAGCTGTTGCTCTGTCATGCTGGCGCCTTGCTCGTGGTGGATCCTCGCAGAAAACAACTTTTCGGGTCCCGAAAGTTTTACCCTCCATGTCACTGCTGAGCCTGTGCAGCAAAGCCTTTGCGCCTTTCCAGGCAAGTTGTTGCTCTGTCCTGCTGGCGCCTCTTGCTCGCAGAGGTTCTGCGCGCTTGCGGCAGAAAAGAACTTTTCGTGCCCCGAAAGTTTGTTTTCAGCTTTTGGCCCTCCATTGTCTTGCTGGGCCTGTGCAGCAGCCTTTCCATCTGCAAGCTGTTGCTTTGTCATGCTAGCGCCTCTTGCTCACGGGGGATCAGGCACGAGCAACTTGTCGTAAGCTATGCGTAAGCTCCATCTTCGAAAAATAGCAATCGTAAGCGACTTTTCGGTTGGCGGAAGCTTTCCGCAAGCGATTGCGGAAGCTGGAGTAATTTCCTTTACGGGTAACAGGGTTTTTTCACTGCTCAGCTGTTTCCCCTGGTTTTGGATGGTTTCCTGAAAAGATTCGGATCCCTTGAAAGAATGGAATTAGAAGGTAGCCTAGGTCCCCCAGTAGTGCCTTTCTCACCTTTGTTTTGTTTGGGAGGTTTCCCCTACTAAAATAAACAACAGACAAAAAATCGGTACCAACTTATTCTACCCTCAAACTACTGGAGGACCTACTAGCCCTAGACCCCATTTGTTCCTCCCAGAACCGCCCTTTCCTCCAGGACCAAGCGCTGCTGATGTCCATGCTGGACGTCATGCGCCAGGCCAAAACCGGTGCCATGGAGTAGACGTGCCCCGGGGTGTGCGTGGCTAAATGGAGGACCACCCCCCTCACCCCCGAAAAATACGGGAAGGGTAATGTCCATTTGGTTTCCTTCAACTCCGGAAAGGGGTATCGCCAAACCATGTTATTTTCATTGCATGCTTGTACAGGCATTGTGTGTCGGGTAGGGGAAAGTATCTCATTTGGATGGGCAGGGCGCGAAAAGAAGCGCAGGGCTCTCAGCCGCACAGAGACAAACATGGACCTTTGGGAATGGAAATGATGATGGTTCAAGAAATATGGAATATGGATTTGCTTTTTCCCAGAGTTCCATTGCAAGGGGATTTGGGTTGCAGCCCGGGTGTCAAGCGGCGAAGCCGAGAAGCGCAGAAGCGCAGAAGGGGCGCAGAAGCGCAGAAGCCGAGAAGCGCAGAAGCGCAGAAGGGGCGCAGATAGGCTTCTAGGCGTTACGCAACCCAAACCCCCCTACTCTCATCCATTTGCTTTTACCCAGAGTTCTCGTTGAACACATGGGAACCTAGAAACAGACTTGAAGAGGGCTTGGGAAGACAAACGCGACCTCCCTTGTTCAGCCTCCAGCACATTTCGACCCTGCGGCATGTTGGAAGCAGTTGAAGTCATCAACTCACCACCCTAGGTGTGCTGTTGATCGGTGAGGTTGGTTAGAAATAGATTGTCTCCATTGGTTTAGATTGGGTTTATGCCTTCCATGTACCAGCCAATCCGTGTATCTGTCCAAAAGGTTACTTATGCTCACAAGCATTTGCTATCAGAATATGTTTACTTGTTACCTGTTGGTTTTGTAGGGAATTTATCACTGCTGTACATGTGTTTTTCCATGGGACTCAAACAAATGTGGGTGAAACAAAGCGGTTGTATGGGGGATCGGGCCGCAAGGCAAGAAGCGAGATTGCCAATCGCACAGCAGCACAACAGCCTGCCCTTTGCCGAACAATGGCAACCGTGGCCACACTTGCACGAAGCCAACCCTTCAACTGCACAAAGTGATCGTCCCAAAAGAAACAAAGGCAGACAACGGGCTCAAGTCCCAAAGTAGTTAAATACACTGCTGAATGAGGTCGTCTCCACTCTTGCCAGTCAGAAAGAAGTAACCCACAATGCGTCACAGATCATCCCCGCACTTAAGTTCCAAGCCACCTTGCTTGCCGCTGAATATCAGTCCTCACGGAATTTGCAGCTTTGATCGCCTCAATATGCCCAAATTGGGGGTCCCGGTATTTGCCCAACGTGGGTCAATTCCTGAAAACTCTTGCTTTGCGGATTCCACCGTTCTTCTCCCCGGGCCTTGTGTCGTTCTTGATTACATCCTCCCAACGCCTCACGCCCGCCAGAGGTTTGGGGTGTCTCTACCGGGGTTGGACCCCCTCTGCGTTTGGGCGGACGGGCAAAACCCAGCCAAGCGTTTGCTAGAAAGCCAAATTTTGCTTTTGGTTTCCCCTTTTTGGCCCATGTGTAGTCATATGGCCCCAGAATGCTAAGCTTTGATTTCTGGGTCCCTGAGGCGCTGAGAGCCCCGTCGGTTTTCGCGTACGCCAGGTCATGGAGAGTTGCTCTCAGCTGGTTCCAGGGGAAGGCCTTCACCCGGGCGAGAGAATTTTGACATGGGCCTCGCGAAATGGAGATGTCTGAGTTTCTTTGGGTACTGGGGTGGCTAAATGGTATGTGGCCATGGGTCAAAAGCCAACTCGTACCCGCAGTGAACATCCCGATCCCCACTAAAATAGGTTCTAAAATGGGTGGTGCACCTACCCCAAAATGGTACCATTTGACCCACAGCCATGTGTTTCTTTGGGAACCCTTTTTTGGGGTCGAAGGGGAGCCAACCGGAAGCCAATCACTTTGGGCTTTCCGTTTTGCCACATGCGAAAACACAGAGCATATTGAACTCATGTTGGTACAGACTTGGGCCAAGAACCAAAGACCCCCAAAGTCAAGGGGTTAGCGGTTGGGAGGTCTTTCGTTGGGGTCCCTGCTTGGCCTCCTCCATCTGGTTATAAATAAATGGGCCGGTCACAAATCTTATCACCCCATTTAAACGGAGGTTGGTAGCCCCACTATCCAAACTGAGGCGGCCAAGCGGGACATGACTCTGAGACAATCGGGGAGGTTCTTTGGTCCAGCCTCCGGATGGGATGGAGCTACAGTACTACACACCGGCAGTTTGGATGGCATAGACAAAAGACGTCCCTTTGTTTTTCGGCAACGGGAAATGGTTTTGGTTTATGCGTTTTGTTTTTGTTCTCCCGTTTTAGGTCATTTGTTTGTTTGTTTTTTGCAAGGGACATGCTCTACGGCAACGGAAATGCAAACGAAAGAGCAGTTGCTCCGCATCTCTGGAAGATTCACGGCGCTGTTGATACGCTCTGGTGTGAGTTTGCATATGTAACACCGCCATTCCTGCATAGCTTGAAATACACGTTTTGTTCATCAGGGTGAAAAGAACCATTTGCACCCGTCACTATCATCCAACGGGATTTGAAGCAATTTGGAGGTGTCGATTTTATGACCCATTGACATTGAGAGGAGGGTCACTGCACACATTGCATGATATTTGGTGGGGGGGGGGGGCAAACTTCTGGGTGACTGGGCCAAGGACATGCCCAAGGGGTAAAGCAGCGATTCCACTGAATGTCCCGGGATTTCTGAATTCGGGTTGCTGGATTGTTGTGTTCATGTTATTCCAAGGACTTGCAGGTCATTCTACTAATAAATGGAAGTCCCTTAGCTTAATCAATTGATCCACAAACAAGGGTCCATTTTACCATCTGAGGAGGTACTTGACCCCTTTTACCTCCCCCCCGAAAGGCCCCCCTACCCAAGGGCCCTTTAAGTGGTTTACCTTCAAACCACCATTTCGCTCGGGTGACTCTTGTTTTCGATGTCGTGCTGTGGGCCTGTCGGTCGCTCGCTCGGCTTGGAGGCGATGGGCCCTTCTCCACAGGCATTGAGGCCGCCATCCGGCAAGACGTGCAGGCAGGGAATGCTGTCAAGTCCAAGAGCCTTATTCGTTTGAACGGGCGTGGCGGGGTTGATGGTGATGCCTTTGTGTTGTAAGGGAACAAGGGAAAAGCCCCTGTGATACTTTAGCATGACGGGGTTGAGTGTGTACCTGAAAAGCCTTTCATGAGGCTTATTAATCCAGCCCTTCACCCTGGGAGAGGGTCTTTGGGATGCACTGTCCCAGGTATATCGCCCTGGCGACAAGTACCTAGACCGGGAATACACTGGTCAACCTTTCGGAACCACCAAACACACAAGCATCCGAAAGGCCAACAGGCTAGTCCCCGCCAAAAAGAAGAAGAAAGTAAGTTGACGAGGTCTGTGGCTTGGGTATCCCCAGAGAACACCTTCTCGCAGGTTGACCTTAGTTCCCTCCACTTGGAGGGCTTGCTGACGCCTAGCTCCGAACCCTTGTTTGGGCCCTATGTGTTGTCCACAAGTCCGGTTCTGGGCAGACATGGTAAGCACCCCCTGAGGGTAAACCGGGGAGG